AATGGTCACTATGGATTCCGAATATGCACTAGGTCGAATGGTCAAAACGGGTGCCCTGGTAAAATCGGGGTTTGTGTTCCCGTCGTGGCAGAGCCCGCAACCGGTCAGCCTTATGGCACGCTTCGCAAAGCGAGCCTCCGACAAACCGTTTAGGAATAACATACGGCAAACACGGTGTCCTAGGCGCACCAATGCAAATGCAATGCAAAGAAACACATAAGTATAATCAAAACCAGATATCATGAGTTCGAGCCAAGTTCTCTAAGTCCCCAGCAGAGTCGCCAGAAACTGTAGACGTCCCCGAACGTCCCGGGAGGTAAATCCCGTTTTGTTCATTTGGGCTCACTACAATTCAGGACTCAATGTCACGGTCCTATATCTAATCTCGCAGAGTGCAATGCAAGACCGATGAATCATCAAAGAGTCCAAATCCGGCAAATCATTTTTAAAAATAGATTTTTTGAAAAAAGTGTCAAACATGGACTGCTTTGTCAGATACAGAGTCGCCACCTAAATATTTTATTTTGGGGGGAATTTAGGAAATCCTGACTCGTGCCTAAGGCCACGTGTCTGTCATCACAAAAGTTGCCTCGGCTCGGGAACTTGGGTACGATTAGGGAAGGTCACTTCATGAGCACCCCCGCTCGCCCGATCAAAGATCAGCCTTTACTAACCATGATATCTAGCTTTGAAAACATTATGCGTTCTTATCCCGGTTATTAGCCTAGATTTACTATGTGATGCGCACAGCATACAAGTATAGACTGGATCGCCCGAATTGGAACAAAACATTTCATGTTTGTTTTTTAAAGCGGTTTGCTACTCGCAAGTAGGCTTAAAATGCATATTTTGCCACCCTCTGGTGGGCTTAGAAAACATGGTTTTGCCACTATCTAGTGGGCTTAAAACTCACAGTTAATGCATTATTCCAACTCAGATAATCCAACCTTCACCGACAGGCATTCAGGCAGGTATATCACATAAGTAATTAGCCTCATGGTAAGCATGCTATCATGGCAGTCACTCACACTCATGCAAGGATGCTTAAAGCATAAAACTTACCGAGTACTCCAAGCCAAAACAAAAGTTATGTTAGAAATCCATGCATGATCCTAACTATACAGAAATGCCTAATGCAACACATGCAAAATGCAACTATAGGCTCGACTATTCTACAATGGCATGTGAAATGCTACAACTAACAAGTATTCAACTCGAAATTGTAATACAATGCAGTTAGTATGATGCGCCGAGCCCGGTGCATGCAAAACAGATGAATGAATGCAAACATGCGAGCATAAGTTAAGCTTAATTGGAAATATGAACCTAAAACTAACCAACGAAAGCAAGGTAGTAAAAAGGGAGAAAGACGTGGGGTTGGAAGACATGCATCACACGCACGCACACTTATTACAATTGTGCCCTCGCTCGAGGGTCCGACATAAATATAACAAGCGCACCTAAATAACTAACTCACAGCTAATAATTATTAAGAACCAAATTTGATAACTAGCTACAAACTATTATTTACACAACTTAATTAAATTAATCGAATCAATTAACTAATTAATGAATGACAACAAGCAGGTAGGGAAAACAGTAAACGGTGCTATTCTAGCTCTGTTTGAAGAAGGGAGGCATGCATGCTCGCTTCGGTTCCTTGCTTCGAAATGCCTTCCAATTGCTCTTTAGAGGCTCTGTTTGTAGGGTGTCTTCCAGTGCTTGTCGCTGGACCTTACCAAAACACTGCAGGGGAAGTCACCACTGGCCTGCCGGCCAGGAAAGGAGATCTGCCGGCCAAAGATGGTCCATTGCCGGCCAAGGGTGGCACACTACCGGCCATCAATGGCAGGCTGCCGGCCACTGGTGTGCTGTGACACCAAACTGCAACGAAGCACAAAATAGAGAAAATGGAGGGTTTCCCAAGGACATGTACGCACCATGGCACTCCAAACCACCTCAAAATATCAAGGGAGAGGCCTAGTCGGATCCACGACCAGCAATCACGCATCCCGATGCATGATGGCCAAAGATCTAACTTGTGCAAATCAATATGAAAATGAATGCACAAATGAAGCAAGTAAAGCCTAGAACTCTATCATGAATCATCAAGAGCTTCAGCGACTGAGAATTGAGACACGTTTCATCACTCGAAGTATGAAACGTCCCTCGTTTCCCGTGTTCAGATTAATACTTAATCCAAGCAATGCAATGCATGTATGCTTTATGTAGCTCAAATATGCAATATGAGCCTCAAATATGCAAGGCATGCCAAATGCTATGCAACTAAGCATGCGAGTGTGCAAACTAAGCTAATGTAACGCAAACGCACTAAGTATGCAACAAGGATACACAATGCAACTAGCTAAATGACGTGCAAACGTGCGAACGTGATATGATGCAAGCATGCGACCAATGTAATGCAACATGTCAAATATGCATTGGTGGGCTTAAACCATAAAGGGGCAGACCTCAGCCCATCCCAAAACAGTGGCCAAAGTGCAAGGAAGCAAGGCCAAAACAAGCTGATTAAGCATGTTCATGCAAGAGGCCAATGAAGCACATAAACTAGAGCTATATGATACAATGCTTGCAGGTCTCAAACACCTCAAAACAGTCACCCTACATGCCATATTGATGTTGAAAATGCCATGATCATACACCAAAACAAGCTCAAATGATATGCCCAAACAATGGACTCTTGAAGCACATGAACTACAACTATGTAATGCAACGCATGAGAGTTTTATCCAGCCCAAAACAGAGTTTCTACATGTTAATTTAGGGCCTAAAACATGCTGGAAAATAGTCAAAACAAACTAGAAAAGCATGCTCTCCTTTAGGCCATTCTAAGCATTTAAACCACAACCATGCAAAGTAATGGACAGGCTACCTTAACACCCCAAAATAGAGCTTAATCACAGCAAAATACGGACTATTGCAGGCCAAAGTTAAGCTAGCACATGTTAGGAAAATAGGCTAAAACATGAAACAAGCTTTGGCTAGGGAGCAAAATTACACTACAAGTGTATTATGCAAGCATGGAGTGACAAAACCAACCCAAAATAGGTTCATGGCATGGTAAAACATCACCAAAAACCTACTGAAATGGACTCAACACAAGCTAAGCACACATGCTACTTTGATGAGCTATGAATGGAGTTACATTACACATGCTAGATGCAAGCAGAATATGACCAAACCAGCCATGGACAGGGCCAAGGAAGGTCCTAAGAGTCACAAAAATAGGCCTGAACCAAGCCTCAAAAATGCATAGAGGGATGGTCCTTTCGAAGGCCAAAAATGTAAGCAAAGAGGAACACAAAGAGAGGGGACTACCCCCCCTGATTTAGGACCTCAAAACCACACTTCTACCACCAAAATTCCACTGGATTTCAGTGGTAGGAAGGCCAAACCAAGGCTAGCTCGGAGGCCTCAAAATATGGCTTAAAACAAAGCCAAACAAAGCATGCAAGGGGGCTACACACCCCAAACAGCAAAATGACCTTAACCAAACTTAAAAAGCACTTAAAAAAAAGACTTTTTCTAGTTATAAGAAAAGCCTAAATCAATATGCAAAGAGGTCTAAAGCAAGGTGCAAGAAAGTGTAAAAATGGGGGAAATGCTCACCCTTGAAGACCCTCTTCGAAACCAGCAATTTCAGGGGGTGGAAGCTTACTTTCAGGCCTCAAGAAGACCTCCCAAGAAGCTTGGTTCAATGATTGTGGTGTATATCTAGGTGTTGTAGTGTAAAAATGCAAGGAAATCCAACTTCAAAGCATTAAACACAAACAATATAGAGAGAAAGAGAGGTTTTGCCCTTCAGAACTCCAGAACCCTGATATAGAGGGTGGCCTCTTGCTTATATAGAAGAAAATCAATTCAAAGCTTCTTGAACAAGCTTGGCAAGAGCTTCATCCCTCCATACACGTGTATGGAGGGAAAATTAAAGGATTCCAGCTGGCTCAAAAGATTTGCCGTGAAACCTGCTGAGAGAGGGATGCTGCCGGCCATCAGTGATGGCAAGCAGTGGCTCATTGATGGCCGGCAGTGGTCACTTTTGGCCGGCATTGGCCAATCATGGCCGGCACACTCCCATAGAGGCCGGCAACAAAAATCAGTCCTAGTCCCTGTTTTGAAGAAAGCCTAAATCCTTCATCTGGATGTCTTTTCAGATCATTCTTGAGCCTAAACTATAGCCCCGGAAGTCTTCTTTCCAAATTTGGAATCCTCACCTCAAAAGTCCATGTGTGCTAAGAGATATCCCTCTTTTAGTGAAGATTACTCAGTTTCAGTCTAACCGGATTGATGCCCGACTTCCAATGACCATATCTGTCCCATCCGGACTCGGCTCGAGGAGATTCTTGAATGAAAATTGAAGCCCCGGAAGTAAGCTTTCCAACGATGGTGGCCTCATAGCTGAAATCCAAGTATTCAAATGGATAGGCCTAATTTAACGAGGGCTGCTTGGCTCTTTCTTAAAGATTCATGCCCAACTCCTTCCCCAACTGGGTTTCTTCTCTCATCTCCTCTTTTTTTCAAATCCAAACCCCTAAACAAGGTGTTTTGAAAGATTTTTCAAAAGAGTTCATCTCTCCATCATTCATTTCCACTTTATCCTTGCTCGGTTTATTGAAAAGCGTAACATTTAACAAAATGCGAGCATCGGAACATCGTAGGAACCTATTTTCAAAAATATTTTGAAAGAGAGGGTTTTGAAGGTCTCAAAATCTTTTGATCAAGATAGTTTTGATCCAAAAAGGGGTATGAAGTTAGGATTTGACCCTCTCATTGCCGAAGAAATCGAACCCTTGCACTGCACAACTTTCACCACCAAGTAAACCGTCAGTAACGGCGTCCAAGTCTTAAGGGCGGTCAAAAATGGGGTGTCTATAGTTAGCAATGGCATGAGGCAGCAGAATCGGAGGAATTGTGATAGATATGGTAGGTCACTTTCTGTTGGGTATAATTGTGATGGCACAGCTCGAATATGCTTTAAGTGTGGCAAGCCTGAGCATCTCTCTGCACAATGTAGGTCTAAGGGACTGGGAGGTCAGTCAGTAGCACAGTCATCTCAGGGGCAAGGGCAGAGACGAACTTTTTATAGCGGTAGCTTTAACCAGAAGCAGAATAATAGCAAAAGTGGGACTACCCAAGGTCAGACATCTGGGAATGGGACTCAGGAAAAGAAGTCAGCGGCTACCCAAGGACGTGTTTATGCTCTCACTAGAGAGAAGGCTGAGGTTGCTCTATCTGTGGTGCAAGGTACACTCCTTATATCATCTGTACCTACCAGAGTTTTAATTGATTCAGGATCTACACATTCTTTTGCTGCACCTAAGTTTCTACGTTGTTTGTCTATTCCTTGTGAGCCTTTGGATGCATGTATTGCTGTTTCTACTCCATTAGGAGAAACAGTAGTGTCAGGGGATGTTTGTAGATCTTGTGAGATAAAGTTAGATGGTAGAATTTTTCCAGTGGATTTGATTTCTTTAGAGATGAAGGATTTTGATGTGATTTTGGGGATAGATTGGTTAACGAAGCATCATGCCTCTATTGATTGTTTTAGAAAGAGGGTAGTTTTTGCTATGCTAGGGCAACAGGAGTTTTTCTTTCAAGGAGATGGGAAAGGATCTTCTATTTGTTTTATTTCTTCCCTTCAGGCTAACCGAATGTTGAGAAAAGGGTGTCATGGTTATTTAGCTTGTGTGGTGAGTACCGAACAACCAGAGCAGAGGTTAGAGGAGTTGCCTGTAGTAAGGGAATTTGTTGATGTTTTTCCAAAGGATCTACCCAGTCTTCCTCCAGACCGTGAGGTCGAATTTTCCATTGACTTGATCCCTAGTACAACACCTATCTCTAAAGCACCCTATAGAATGGCACCGTTGGAGTTGAGGAAGTTACAAACTCAGTTACAGGAGTTGCTAGACAAAGGTTTTATTTGGCCTAGTGTTTCACCTTGGGGAGCACCTGTGTTGTTTGTGAAGAAGAATGATGGGTCTATGAGATTGTGTATTGATTATAGAGAACTGAACAAAGTCATAGTGAAGAATAGGTATCCTTTGCCACGCATTGATGATCTATTTGACCTGTTGCAGGGAGCTCAAGTATTCTCTAAAATTGACTTGAGGTCAGGCTATCACCAGTTGAAGGTAAAGGATAAGGATGTTCCTAAGACTGCTTTTAGAACCCGTTATGGGCATTATGAGTTCTTGGTGATGCCTTTTGGTCTCACAAATGCACCAGCCGCATTCATGGATTTAATGAACAGAGTATTTAAGCCCCAATTGGATAAATTTGTGGTAGTGTTTATTGATGACATCCTAATTTATTCGAGGAGTAAGGAGGAGCATGAGCAGCATTTGAGGGTAGTACTGTAGATCCTTAGGGAGAAAAGACTGTATGCAAAATTTAAGAAGTGTGAATTCTGGTTGAGCAGTGTATCCTTTTTGGGTCATGTAGTGAGTAAAGATGGGGTATATGTGGATAGCACCAAGGTGACAGCAATTGTTGATTAGCCACGACCTACTTCTGTGACAGAGGTACGTAGCTTTCTAGGGCTTGCTGGGTATTACAGACGGTTTGTGGAAGGATTCTCCCGTATTGCTTTGCCACTTACCAATCTCACCAGGAAAGGGGTAAAGTTTGAGTGGAATGATGATTGTGAGCGTAGTTTCCAAGAGTTTAAACAGAGATTGACATCAGCTCCAATCCTTGCCTTACCTACAAATGAAGGTGGTTTTGTGATTTATAGTGATGCTTCACGACAGGGTTTAGGATGTGTGCTCATGCAGCATGGGAAGGTGATTGCTTATGCGTCACGACAGTTGAAAGTACATGAGAGAAACTATCCTACGCACGACTTAGAGTTAGCAGCAGTGATTTTCACTCTTAAGATTTGGCGGCATTATTTGTATGGAGAGTCATGTGAGATTTACACTGATCATAAGAGTTTGAAGTATATTTTCACACAGAAGGAACTAAATTTGAGGCAAAGAAGATGGCTTGAGTTACTAAAAGATTATGATGTGAATATTTTATATCATCCGAGGAAGGCAAATGTGGTTGCAGATGCCTTAAGTAGGAAGGTCGCAGTTGGAGATGTAGCTGCTTTGTCTATTAAGAGTTGTTTGGTGAAAGACATGAGACGTTTGAGGCTTGAGGTTGTTACACCTGGTAATAGGGCTTATTGTAGTCAATTGACACTTCAACCAACCTTGAGAGAACGGATTCGTTTAGCACAGGAGATTGACCCCCAGTGTGAGCGTATTAAAGGAGAGATGGCAGAGGGTAAGCACGTAGACTTTGTGGTTAGTGATGATGGGTTGCTTAGATTCCGTAGCCGAATTTGTGTTCCTGCTAGTGGTGATTTGAGGAAGGAGATTACACTACAAGAAATTGCACTTTTGGCGACTATTTTTGGCGACGACATCAGTTTTTCATAGGTAAAAGTATATTTTTGGCAACACACTGATGAATTTCGTTGGTAAAAGTAATCCTTTAGCGACGCAATTTACTATCGTTACTAAAAAGCCATAACATTCACTAAGCGCCAAAATTATTGGTTGGCGCCAAAATTTCAAATATTTTAGCTACGAGACTTATTTTTTAGCAACACAATGAGCGTTGCTATTAGTGCGATTACTTTTGGCGACGACAAGTTGGCGTGGGCAAAGAGTTAAATATTTAGCGACGATAACGTTATTCATTGGTAAAAGTTTTGCTAGTAAGATGAAGTGATTTAGTGGTTTGTGTTTTTATTATAACTTTTGAAAGAGTTTTAAATATTCTAGTTAAAATTAAAGTGATCATTGAATTAGATTACAGAATGAACCCATCAAACCCAATCATATTCTTAAGTTGAGATGGTTAATTCGAGATAATTTAAATTTTTTCAAAGAATGTGGTTAGATTGTCAATTTCAATATATTTGGTTTTATTTTCAGAAACTAGTTTCAAATTTTCTTTTTCTAAAAAACTAAAAAAAAAAATTGGGTGAAAAAATAAAAAATTACTTATTATAGTACTAGAAAAATTGGTATATGACATAGAACCTTTTGCGACAGCATAATTATTCGTCGCAAAAAGTAACTTTTTGCAACGATTAATATCTTGTCGCCAATAGTCACTTTTTGCGACGACAATTACTGAATCAAAAAGAGAAAAAAAAAATAGTAGTTTTTCTTTTTTTTTGGCCATAGCCTTTGTTGTGCGGTCGCTAATAGACAAAAAAAAAAAAATAATAAAATAAATAAAATAAATAAATAAACCCTCCGGTGCCCAAAATCCCCAAAGTTTATGACATCTTGGTGCCTCTGATTTTTCTTTTCATTTTCACGCTCAACTCTCTCTCCATCTGCATCTTCTATCTTTGTGCGACTCAGAATCACTCCCATCCCACCGGCAAGGGCTCAAATATGTAAAGCATCAATGTCGAAGCCACCGTTGCTCATCTTAATGTCGCACAGGACCACATAGTGTCCGTTAATAGTCCATCGTCGCACATCATCGCATGGCCACCGCCGCTCACCATTGCCTCGACGACCACCACCGCCATTGATGTCACCATCGCAAACCAGCAACCATTCTCTTCTTATCTCACATTACGATCCACCATTGGAGCACTACCCCCAAGTATGTCCTTCATATTTCACTCTCTCTCTCTCTGTGTGTGTGTGTATCTTTGAATCTCTATCTCTATTCCCCCAATTTCGGCCTCTAGGGTTTTTTTCGCATACCTTCAAGCAAACCCACCCCCAAATCGAGCCACCCACTTTCACACCTTCTGCACTTTCTACTTCAGCAATCTGATTGTGGATGTCTCTTCTCTTCTCTTCTTACTAGTGATTATTAGTTGTCCATGGAACAAATTCCAATCTCCGACCTCAATATTTTCTCGCCATTATATCTCTATTTTGAACAACACCTCATGATCTGGATTCCCTATTCGATTGCCTCCAATCATACATGATTTTCTCGAGCCTCGCATTCTCAATGTTAGGTAATTAAAGTATTTTTTTGTTATTTAAGGTGTTTAAATTCATTTAATTTGATTATCTTTCATTTATTTCTTTAGCACACTCTGATGAGAATTTGGGATTAGGTTTTGGTCAGAGCGAAGTTTTTCTCACATTCTGTTCTTTAATAGGCTTTTTCGGTATTTGGAAAGAAATTAACCTTTTGCCTTTTCTTTTCGGCTTTTGGTTTACTTTTCCCGTCTATTTGGTTATTCAATTTATTTTAATTGAACAAATAAAATTAAGAGTAACAAATCTAAATACCCAGCTGATAAAGAGTACAAACTATATAAATTACATCTTGAATTAAAGAATTTCTATTACAATAGGGACAATTTGAAAGGGCATACTCAGTTACATAGGCTTAGTGCTTTTTGATTGCATTTATTGAACTGAACCGCACCAAAACTACTTTCTATGGTTTGGTTTTGGTCCGATTTCACAGGTTGACGGTTCGATTATAGTTCTAATTTTTTTGAAACTGTAAAAAACGGTTCAGCTTCTGGTTTGCTTTAAAATGGACCAATTCGATCTGTGTACACCCCTATTGTTAACTGTAAACAAGTACATATGTTCAACCTTAGATTTCAAACCAAAAACACTATGCATTATGAAAATTTATTCTTAATTTTATTTCAAAGTGAGTATGTGGTGTAAATTTGAAATTATTAAGATGTGAGCCTCACCTATGAAATATAGATTATTGATTATATTTTCTCAGTAATATTTTTTGAATATCTAGTACTTCTGCATTATTGGGCGTCTCTTAAGTTTAAATTTGAATTTGAAGTCCAGTAAGACCTATCATAAGTCTTATTTTAACAATTTAAACCATTCATTTTATAGAGGGCATTTTATGTATAATCATAATAAATTTCATTTTATAATGTTTATCTTCAAAAAATTAATGGTCTATCTCAAATAATTTATTCATCATTCATTTTTTTCAAAGATAAGTATGACAAAAAAAAAAAAAAAAAAAAAAAATCTCAATATGAACTTCACAATTTTGATTTTAATTTTGTAACGGGAAGTCCAATCGAGTGCTGTTTGCTCATACAAGTTTGCTCATACAAGTCTATTTAGGCTTAAACAAGCTGCCCGTGCCAAGTTTCGGCGGTTTCAATGACCATTTTGCAATTTCAACCACATCTTTAAATGAGAAGTTATTGGTTAGTAGCATATAACACTTCAGTGGAGGTCTACATAATTGTAATTGATAAAAGAGATGAAGTCTATGATTTTATATTGAGTGATTGAGAAATATAAAGAGATATAGGAATTTATGATTAGCCTAGGACCTAGTCACGTCACGCCCCAGAATCAACAAATAATTTTTCCCTTTAAATTATCTCAAGTTTAAGTTTGAAATTAAAAGAAACCTAATCAATTGCTACATTGGGAGCAGAGTTCCACAACGAGTAAACCAACGCCCAAGCGTACCAAATTAATGCTCCCCCCCCCACCTTAGAAGAACGCTTGACCTAGAAGGGCCTCTCTCCCACTCCCCCATTCAGCAAACCCTCTTGCGATTAGGGTTCTTAATCCCCCGAATATGGTAAGCTCTTGATCTCTCTGTACATATAAATATATTTCTATTTTTTTTCAACTTCCATTTTTATTCAATTTCGATCTCCATTCTATTTAATTTTACGTTTAATTTCCAAATAGATCGTTAAGCTGTAGTGGTATGTTGAATGAACTTCTATTTTTATTTTTATTCCACTTCAATTTTTTTTTGAATTTCCATTTCAATTCAATTTCCTTTTTTAATTTATTTCCAAATTGATCGTTAAGGTATAGTGGTTTCTTGAATTAACTTCCATGTTTAATTTTACGCAGTTTCCATTTCTATTTTTATTCAACTTCTATTTTTATTCAATTTCCATCTCCATTCAATTTCCTTTTTTATTTTATTTCCAAATAGACCGTTAAGGTATAGTGGTTTCCTGAATGAACTTTCATTCTTAATTTTATGCAACTTCCATTTTCATTTTTATTCCACTTTCATTTTTATTCAATTTCCTTTTCTATTCAATATACTTTTTAATTGAATTTCCAAATAGATCATTACGGTATAGTGGTTTCTTGAATAAACTTCCACGTTTAATTTTATGCAGTTTCCATTTCTATTTTTATTCAACTTTTATTTTTATTAAATTTGCATCTCCATTCAATTTCCTTTTTCATTTAATTTCCAAATAGATCGTTAAGGTATAGTGGTTTCCTGAATGAATTTCCATGTATAATTTTATGTAGTTCCCACTACGATTTTTATTCAACTTCTATTTTTTTTTTTTCAATTTCCATCTCCATTCAATTTCCTTTTTTATTTAATTTCCAAATAGATCGTTAAGGTGTAGTGGTTTCTTGAATAAACTTCCATTTTATGCAACTTCCATTTTCATTTTTATTCCACTTTCATTTTTATTCTATTTCCTTTTCTATTCAATTTACTTTTTAATTGAATTTCAAAATAGATCGTTAAGGTATAGTGGTTT